TCTGCCCTGAAGGCCACTCCCTACAGAGCCTGGCCTGGGCTGGCCTCCAGCCCCACATACACCAAAGGGAACACCTCTGAGGCCCTGTTTCCAGGCAGTGCAGGGCTGGGCCCTGCTCCTTGGTGATGGTGTGACGTGGGTTGAGAGGGGTTCGAGGGGGCGTGCCAAGGTGAATCAGCCCCCTGCAGCAGACCCAGGCCCCCTCCTTCTAGGCATGAGCCCCCTGCAGCATTTGAGGAGGGCTAGCGGCCCCAGTCAGCTCAGCATGGCTGGGAGGTGGGGCTCAACCTCCACTTCTCCAGAAACGCTCACCTGCTGGGTGACCAGCATCTCACCTCTCCCAGCCTCTGTTTAGGTCACTGCTCCCACCACTCATGCACTTGCTAAGTGTTTCTTGGCCACCCACCTTGGACAGGCAGGTGCCAGGTATCAAAGGCGCATTAAACGTGACACTGTGGCCACCCTCAGGAGCTACTGTCTGGCCTGAACACTGCGAGGTAAGTGCTGCAAAGGAGGTGTGTGGGGTCAGTGAGGCCCCAAAGCAGGCACCGCTAGCATCTGGCTAAGCACGGGTGGGGCGTTAGCATCCCAGTGGTGGGCGCTGTAAGGCCAGGGCTGGGGCCTGGTGGGACTGCTTGGCTGGTGGGTCTGTGGTCCAAAGGGACAGTAGGGCAGGACAGATTGGAGACAGTGCCCAGAAGTGGGTCCTGCCGACTTGAGGAGGCTGACACAGAGCCCAGGACCACTGAGAGCTTCAAGAAGGAAAAGGGTATGTGGTATGGAGGGGGACGGTTGGAACAAGGAGGAGGAGAAGGCCACATGAAGGGCAGGAGAAGGGAACAATGTGGAGTGAGGGGCCTCCACAAAGCAGAGTCGCTGGGTGGGTATGGTGATGCAGGTGACCTCCAAGTCCCTGAGCTTGCGTGGGCACCTGCACGATCTGACAGAGGTAGTCTCACTGCCCACTGCCCCATGGCCCAGCCTGCCAAGATGGAGGGCCCTCCAGGCAGCCTGAACCCCATGATCACAGCCATGTGCCCCGGGGAGGGGTTCTCTGGTTTCTACTTCCCACTGGCTGAACCAATGGGCCATTTGCCCCCAACTCCAGTTTTGTCAAGAAGAAGCTTTGCACTTAATAAACAAAACGAGGAAATAGAAAAAGCAGAACCAAATTTTCCAGAGGCCAGGAGGATTAAAAAAAAACCTGAACACTCTGTACAGTTCAATTAAATATTTTTAATGCCAATTTCCAAATTGTCCTATGCTCATCTCTCCAAATTCCTTTCTAGCGATGTGAACATATAACTGCTTCACTGTTTCTAATGCCATTTTCTCATTTCATATCAATCCATGATCTGTTCTTCATTTCCCGTCTGGAGGGTGAGGCTGTGTCCAGTGCTGAGCAGCCCCCTCTGGCTGAAGAGCTTAGGTTTGAGCCTCAAGGCTGAGCCTGCTGATCAGCTGCCACCCACACAGAGTCAGTGAATATTGGCCCAGGGGACTCGGAGCCTTCGAGGACAAGGTTCTTGGATGGGCTGCTGGAGTGGAAGGTGGTGGGAGGAGGTCTCCTTCCAAGACCTTGAGTTAGACAACGCCCCTCCAGTATCTCTGCGGCCTCACAGGTCTATAAATGGGCCACAGAATACCTGAAGGCTACAGGCTTTGTCAGTTTAGAGATGCTGTCTTTAAAAAATAATGCCTATTTAAAACATCCATGCCCTGTGCCTTCTGTAGACTTCTGAAGGACAGAATGTGACTGAGGAGGGTGACAGTTTGTCACATTTAGAATTCCCTGCACCATGGGGCCCTGTGGGAACTCCTGTCCTGTCCTCCCCTTCCTTCCAACCCGACTTAGCAGCTGGCCCACTGCCTGGCCCCAGGCTATCTCAGGTTCTTCCTGCTCTTCAGCTCTCTCCTGCCTGCCACAGGGCCTTTGCACAGGCTGCTCTCACTGCTGGGAAGAACCCCCTACTACTCTCCAGTTGCTTTATTGTCCTAAAACAAATCCTCTGTCCCCTATCTTGGCTCTCTATGGCACTTAACACAGCTTGTAATTGTTTTCTTCCTTTATTCACAGACTTGTTTGTGGCTGCCTCCTGGCTGGAATGAAGCTCCAAGGGACAAGGACAGGGCCTGTACTGGTTACCGTCACTGCATCCCCAGTTCCGTGCAAGGGCCTGACACACTGTTGACCTCCCACTAATTTTTGTCCAACAAATCACTAACAGCCCCTAGCTAGAACCAATTTTGAGCTTCACCTTAACTTTTAATGAGATGGACAGTATGAAAAGGATCAGGAGGTCCAGGTGACCCCTGCCCAGGATCCTGCTGAGGCGCTCCTGTCTGACCTACCCTTGCAAGCTTTCCCGCAGGGCTGAATCCTAGGGCTCTCCTGGTCCCCCTTCTAGCTGGCTGGGGCACTAATTGCTCTTTGAGGGCCTTAATTACTGACCATGGCACTCCACTGCTAAGTAGTAGTACTAAAATAGAGTAAATGTTTTCTTTTTCTTGAAAAGTTCACATACACAAGAGAAGGTGCTGCTGAGCCATGACTGGCCAGAGCAGGACACCTCCTGGAATCTGTGTGGGAGCTGCCATGGTCCTGCCTTCCTGGGTCTTACCCCAGAGCCCAAAGGTCTGGGAGGGTACAGGGCCTCCTGGGGCCTTCCCTTCTCCAGGAACAGCATGTCCATCCCATCCTGGCTACACTCTGTGCAATGCCACCATGGTGGGGAAGCCCAGTATGCCAATGATCTTGCCAGAGCCTCTCCAGGTTTGGGGCCCAAGGCCCTCCCACCCACCACCGCCACAGAGCTTATGGTGAGGCCCAAGGCTCCTGGAGCCCACATGTGTGGACCAGCCGCCCTGCTCTTTGTCCAGAGGAAGTGGGGTCTCTCCTCCATCCTAAGTGGGCTTGTAAGGAGTAAGGGAGAAGCCCCTCAGGGGCTGCTCTCCCTGGCCAGCCCCAGAACGCACGCACCAGGAGCCAGCAGACTGGTGGTGGTGGAGAAGTGAAAAGCCTGGCAGTACCTCAGGGGCCAAGGAGCCTGGGTGGGACCCCGAAGCACAGGAGTCGGTACTCTGTCCCTCATGCATTTCAGTACCGGAGCGAGGGGCTGCAGGACGGCCTGGCCCCTTCCCCAAGGTCCTACAGGTCTTGACCCAGGAGGGGGCTGGGCAAGGGACAAGTTCGCAGAAGCTGCCATAGGTGCGCTTGTGCGCGCGCGCGCGCGCGTGTGTATGTTGGGG